CAGTATTAGTAGAATATTGCAATCTAAAAGTTAGCAAACTGCTCAGGATTTAACTCCAGAATTGTAGGCACTTTAGGATCATCCAGCTAAACAGTGTAGGCTACACTGGTTTTCTTAGTTAAAGGGACAGAGCTGTACATGATGGATTTACTCTGCTGTAGTTGTTGCCTTCCTTCTCTCCCCCCCACCTCTCCAAATTATGGTTCTGTATAAGATCGATTAGTCTAAACTGATGCTCATTGGGCTTAAGAGGAACAATTTTCTGCAGCTTCTTCACACTGGTTTGAAAGGAAAAAAAATACCAAACATTCTGCTTAATTAAGACCTAAAGAGGCGGTGCAAACTTTTGATGATTAATTGAAGCATGCTTTAGACTGATGCATATTTAGTTATTATAATGTGATAATTTTATCTTGTTATACAAACTGCTCCCTTTGGGAACATGATTTAACACTGCAAACACTCTGTGTTTATTGCATTGTTCATTATGAGAAATACACAGGCTAAAAACCACAAGGAGATGTATCTGAACACTATCTGTGCGGTGGGTGCAGGGAGTACTTCTTCAACCTGTAATGACATGACCCAGGGGCAGAAAAACATGGTATTGGAACTCCCACAATAGCTCTCCCTGTGAAGAGTTGAGAACTCAGAAAAGCAGAGGCTGGAAATTCAGATCTTGTACTGTATGTGTAAGGAATATGTCTTTTTATTACCTGGCGTAATTATGGAAGACAGCGGTATGGATGTTCTGCTGAAAACTCTCCTGTGACTACTCGGTTGTCTCTGTGCCAGCTCCTCTTTGTCTCACCTGTGTGAGTACCCACGCTCCCTGTCGTAAGCGTGACAGATCCGACAGCATGCCAAGCACATTGCAAGAGCAGGTCATAAAGTCGCAAGCCCAGATGGGACAAAAAAGAAAAAAAAAACAACTCCAATTATTAAAAAATGTTTTCTTTCACTGCAAAATTATCTGTACCAGGACTTGCAAATGTTATTTTCGTGCTTTACAAACATGTGTCAGCCTAGCTATGTGAGTCCTGAAAGTGATGGTCAGGGCTTGTCATCAGAAGAGGTGCTGTGGTGAGCGCTCACGTGATGGGCACCGTCATGCTGTCAGGGTGAGCTCAGGTTGCTCCGGCAGATACGCTCAGCTGGGCTGCCAGCAAAAGTTTGTCTGTGAGCAAAGGAGGGCATTGCCCATGTAGTATACTGATGTGTTACTGTGGAGAAGCTTTCTTAGTGCAGACCCAAGCAGAAAAAAATTTAGAATAAAGATCCAGGACGGATAAGCGGTCTCAAACTACTGGATTTGAAATTCCCCGCTTCCTCGCTTTCTTTTTGCAGTAGGTTCTTCTTGCTGAGTGCTCTAGGGATGGGGATTTGATACATTTTCCTGAAAGGAGGATAGGAGTCTGGTAAAGTGATTTTTAAAGAATTTGGCCTTACGAAACAACGGTCTGTGAAAAAGTGAGAGGAATCTCATCTTGAATGGAAGATTTGAATTGCTGGTTTTGGATTATTCCAGTTTGTGTTTAGCAGAAGACAAGTAATTAAATCACCAGCCTTTGGCTTTCCTTATTTCACAGAATCTTAATTTTTTTTTTATAAGTTATCACTTCCCACTGCTGTGGATTGTGATGGTAGAAATACATGGACTATTACTTCTCTGTTAATGTTGCAGTCCTCTTTTTCAGTCACTAAACTTAAAATATTTTAATGAAACACCCCTGTTAGTTATTTTTACAACTTCTGCTTGGATCTCTACTGCAACCAATGTGAAGAAGGAAAGCACATGATCAGGTTTGGACTGTTATCCTTGTCCCCAGCTGTCATCTATACCCATAAGCCATAGGGCATGGCTTTGGTCCTTTTCTGTGCCATTTGTAGCTCCACTTGAAGCTAAAAGAAAGGGATTAATTTTACAGCAAATCTTCCTCGCCCTAGGCTCCACAGGGCTCTTGGTGGTGGTCCACAGGGAATTAGTTGTGTGATATCAGATGCTTCTCTTTTTTCACCTGGTGAATCGCATTACAGAGCAGAGCTGCGTCAAAAATTTACTTGGGCAAACCTACACCTGATGGAGCAACGGTGGCTTAAAAGAGACATATTAGTGTACTGTCCCAGGAAGTGCATGCTCTGAAGTACTGTTGTTTCCTGGCTGCTTTACGTGGCTACACTCAGCTAACCCCTTTGTAGCCATGTTCCTGAGTCTTTTAAATGGAAGAGGCATCTAGTTTTATTGCGACTGTTACTATTGAAAGGACTGTATTGCATATGACCATTCTTTGGTGACTGAGGGAGAAGGGAGTTGAAGAGAGAAATAATTGAAGTTCTTTGTATTTAGGCAGACTTTCTCTCCCTTTCTGCTTTCTTTCTTTCAAAATGACGAACATTTTGATTAATATTGATGATGCCTTCTGGATATCAGCTGTCTCTTCCTGGAGGTGCAGACAGCAGCTGGAAGTAGTTTGTGGACCATTCTTTGCTGTTTTATTGACTATCAGATCCACGGACCACAAGTGAAGCAATGCTACTTCAAAGGATTCTGCATGAGGTGGTTGTGAAGTTCTGCTGGTCAGGGCATGGAAAGAAAACAACTTGACAGAGTAGGTGCCTCTCCTTCTCCTCTCCTCTTCTTGCCAGGGATTTAGAGAAGTCTTTAGCAGAAGGAGGTGGATTGAGCCTCCTACATAGACACGTGTAATGCAGCTTTTCCATGTAGATAGTTGTTGCTGCTGCTGGGATGCTGGGTAACTGAAAATGGACAATTGTGTGGTCCTTCTCATCAGCCATGGGAGACAGTTCATGGGTGTCAGTGAGCAGGGAGTTGAATGGTGGCTGTGGTGCTTCCCCTGTGAAGACAGGCATGAAAGCCCTTGAGAATCCCAGTGGTGGAGCTCTGTGTTTCTCCTTAGAAACTGTGCCCCAGACAAGCCAACCTGCTTCAAAAAGAGGTACTCCAGCACCTGCGTTGTCAGTGAACTCTCTTTCAGCTCTGTAATTTTTTTTTTCCATTTATGACAGCTATTCTCGCCAGAAATGAAGGCTGTTATAAAGGTATCACTGGTAGATCTTCTATTTTCCAGAGATAAAATACTTCTTATCAGTAGGAGAGTGTATGTTGCTGTTATCTGAAACAAGAGGTTGCCGTCTGTTTCCTTTGGTTCACAGGACCTTCTGGTGTCCTGAGACATTCAAAGGGGCAAGTTCAGTCTGTAAGGAATCGGTTCACTACGGTGCAAAAGGAGCTGGATCAGGACACCTCTGTAAAAGCTTAGCACTTCAGATGGTTCAGGATAAAAACGGTGGGGAAGAGCTTTTGGGCTGTGCTGTAGTAGTCAGCACCCTGGGCAAGACTGGTGCAGAGGGAAGGCTGTGACAGCACCACGCAACACCACCGTAACAGCACCCTGTGGTCCTGTGCATCTGGCTCAAGGGCAGGCTTCTTCACCCTACAGGTGGCTAGTGATAATTTTGGCCAAAATGTTTTGATTTCCCTTCATGCTCAGCATATGAAAGCATTTATAATATTGGCAAATCCCACTCTAAAGGGTAAGTGATAAAATATATTAAACGCAAATCTGTATTGTAACTTAGCTTTAAATATAGGTTTAAAGGTAGACAGTCTGATTAAAGCTAAAAGGTCATTATTTTACATTGTACAATTTTATTTGTAGCTATAAATCATAACACAATTTGTGGAAGGAAAAAAGTTATTAAACTGGCAATATTTATTCCGTTAAGGTGAATAAAATGCAGCACGTAGTTCTGAGTTATGATAGCCGGGGAAAGGAGCCAAATCACTCTGCTAAAAATTAGTTTGCCAATAATTTTACAGAACGATGACAGCGTAGCTTCAAAAACAAATCCTTTATAGGGAAATGGGATGGCTGCATGACAGACTCTCTGAGCTATGAATTCTCCACAGCTCATGGACCAGGAACTGCTTTAACAATTAGTCTTCAGGGATTATATTTTTTTTTCCAGAAGTTAGACAATGGCTGCTGTCTGTAACTGAAAGGTCACGCTGTATTATAGACTGGACATAAGAACTGAAGAATTCTGAGTTTTAAGTCAGAAAGATTCCTGCTAACTTACTGTCTTGATCTGTTTGGGAGGCTTAACTATTCACTGCCCCCATCTGTGAAGCTGGGGTGGGAACGATGAGCACACAAGGATATTGCTAGCACTTTAGCAATAAGCCCTGTTTGGTTTTTTTGTTTGTTTGGGTGTTTTTTTTAATTACATGGCAGAAGGCATACATGCCACATTCGTAACACGTTAGAGAAGAGCTCGAAAGAGACTCGGGAATTCTGTCTGAATTGAAATTTGACTGACGAGCATAAAGGCCGGAAAATAACCCGGCAGACTTTACCACAGTGCTGCGTCTCCCTTCCTGGTGGAGTCTGTGTTTCTGTGACTGCTATATTCACACGAAAGCTCCCCGTTTTGTGCGCTAGTCATTATTGTGAAACAACACTGAGAAGGGGTATTTCATGGTTCTTCTTATTTGGAAGAGGGGCTCTTGTTCGAGGCCTGCCTTGGTGCAGTACCTTCTGGGGGTGTTTTATCACCAGCTTGCTGAGCAGAACATCTCAGGGGCTCACTACAACAGACTGTAAGTAACAAGAACAAAGCACCAATAGTCATTAAGCCTCTAGTCTTGGTTACTCGTTTAATAAAGAGTCGTGCGCTCTTAAACATGCTAAAGAGCTCTCGAGATTTCCAGAGCTTTTCAGCAATGCACCATTTTTAAAGCTAATAATCTTTTCCAGCCATCTTAGAAGCTTTGCCAGTCAGCTGAGCCTGGCTGGCACAGGCCACCGGCTGCCTGAGGACGAAGCTGGTGGTCGCAGGCATGCAGGGTTCTGCTCTCAGACAGTGAGGATGTAGAAATAAGATGAGCCGGTGCTGGTTGTATCTAAGAGTAAGTGTGCAGATGTCTGAGGAAGGTGTTTTCATCTCGTGTAAACATTGTTCTTATATTTTTATTGTAGAAGATGATGTGTCAAATGTACAAATAATGTGTGCCTGGTGCCAGAAAGTTGGAATCAAGCGCTATTCCCTGAGTATGGGAAGTGAAGTGAAATGCTTCTGCAGCGAGAAGTGCTTTGCAGCTTGCCGAAGAGCATATTTCAAGAGAAACAAGGTAAGAGAAATAAGGAAAGATGTAACCTACATAGACATAGTTTTAATCAGGCCCAACCTGGGTCTCATTTAGCATCTAATAGCTCTTTTCTTTTGTTTTTTCTGTCTCACCTAGTCCCTCCACTTTCCATCTGTATTGTCTGTTGGACTGTCAGCCCTTTACTAACCCTGTTTCTTTCAGTTTCCTTCAGCTCAATGCTTGGGTTTTGTGGGAGTCAGGGAATTGAAACACTAATCAGCAGTAAAGTAAGAGTCCCAATTTGGCCTTAGAGTCTCAGAATACTTGCTGCATATACACAACCAAGAGGAGGAATCATGAATAGAGGAGGGTTGCATATGGCAGTGTCACTAAGTCCCTTGGTGTTGGGATCATGGCTAGTGGGTAAACGCTTTTAGGGCCTAAGTCTGGGTCCTGTCATGATAGCAAATGTCTTCCCACTGCTGCTAGTGAGCTCTAGTTTCATCCTTTTAAAGTGTATAATTACTAATAAACTATCATTGCTGCAAAATTCAGAGACTATACAAGTTTTGGGTTGGGGTAAGCAGTGTTAGAACATCTAGAGTCACATGAAAACCCCTCCTACTCAATTTAATTTTAACTCTGTCTAAAATTAGAGTGCAATCCTAATATTGAATGTCTACAAAAATTGCTGTAATCACTGAAGTACAGTGCCTTAAAATGCCCCCTAGGTTACTTCAGCAGCTGTTTCTTGCAGCAGAATGTGTGCTATGTCATTTAAAGAAAAATAACGAAGGAACGCTCCAGCATTTTCAGTTGTTGAAAAAGTAACTGTGTCCTTTCAGTGCCTAATAGTGTGAGTCTTTGGGTAGCCTTTATTGTCTTAGAAATATCTATTATTCATAAAACCCTTTGCATTTTGGTTTTGCAAATGATATCTTTTTCCCTCATGCTACAGAACATACAAAGCCTGTCAAGTTCAAAGTGAATTCAGGTCTCTAAATCTGGTCTTTTACATCTGTGGTAATAAAAAATAAGTACATATGGATTCTAGATTCAGTACGCAATGTTATAGCAAATCACCCTCCTTTATAAATTTGGGTCACATCATCCAGAAAAAAAAAAAAAAAAAAAAGGAAAAAAATGCCTGAAGAATTAGGTTGCAAAAATCAGTAGAGTGGAATTTTAGTGGCAGTCTTGGAGAATCAAGCTCATAATGTCTACTGAAGCAGACAGGCGAGTTAAAGTCACATGAGTCTTCTGCGAGGAGTGGTGTTTACATACATCTAGAAAAAGTGTAGAGGAGGGAAATACATGCCCCTCAGATGCTCCTCATTTGAAAACAAGTTTTCATGGATGTGTGTGTATATGCACACGTGCGTGTTTATGCACATGTAGTTCTATGTGCCTTACAATGTGTAAGACTTTCTGGGGTGACAGGATCCAGATCACTGTCAGCTGATGCTCCCATGACTTTAAGTCACAAATGTACATGGGTGAGATAGTTCAAAGCAACGGAGGCATTGTCAGTAGTCCTAGTTAGGTGGTTCTGTATGTCCAGTAGTGATGAGTACCAGATAATTTGGGAAACCTTGGGGAGGCAGATGAGAAACCGCCAGTACATGGTGGATTCTTCTTCATCTACAGCTTAGATCCTGAAATAGGAGGTTTAGATCCCTTTCTAAATTAAAATAAATACATGTTAACATAATTCATAGGTGGACTTCAACCTTCTACTAACCTATGAGTAGTAGACTCAGTAATAGTTTATGGCCATGAATTCAGTTGGGCTATATATGAAAAGGTTCCCTTTTCTTACAATTTATTACCCATGTGCTTTGTTGGAGGCCTCCTTGTCCTTGTATCATGAGAAAGGACAAATTAGAGCATCTCATTCCCTCTGGTTCCCTTTCTTACACCTCTTTCTGGAAGCTAAAAGGTGCTGAATATTTCCATCCAGAAAGCTCTCTGTATTCATTATACTGTATATATCTAAATAACAATAGGTGTTCCTAATATTTTCATATACCATCGTATCTCAGCGAAGTATCCTAGTCTTCACTAAAGAGGTTGCAAATTAACAAAATGTCATATGGGAGGACTTGGCAAAACGTGACAAGATAACGTATTATTGATAACGTGTTGGTTGCTACACTGGCTCTGCTTTAAAGCTAAGTGAGTGAGTCAGATTTTCTTCCTCTTTGCACCTCTGGAATCGGGATTTGCACAGGATCTGACCCAGCAGGGGAAATCTGGAGCTGCCCCTTGCATGTGCAGTTATGGCATTAGGTGATACGAGGACAGAATATTTAGGAAATTCTGCCGTTAAATTAAGACAGGTACAGTAGAAGTCATCAAACCCTCATGCTTCTGAAGTTGCACTCCACCTGTTAGTAACAGAATGGAGTCTTGAGGAACAGGATCAAAGGAAAAGGCTGCAATTGTTTCAGATTTAACCACTGACCTCTAATCTGTTGTTACTAGTCCGACAGCATACCTGTCTTCTCCATGAGTCTAATGCTTATTTATGTATTTGAGAAGTTATACCACTCTACAGTTTCTCGTTTTTCAAACAGAGAAGTAAAATAGTCACGTTTCACCTGCCTTATGTGTGTTTTAAACAGTGGATCTCTGCAACAGTATAGTGTTGTGTTACGTTAAATATGTACAGCTGCTGCATTTCTAGGAGCTGATAGGACTTTGTGGTCACTTCATTTCAGGCTTGAATTTCCTAATGGATTGTGTTAAGCAGTCTTCCCTCCCCGCCCCAGATAAGAAGTGCTGTAATAAGCACTTGCTTAAAATGATAGGACTGTTCAAACAGTAAAGAATAAATCATTGCTAATGTCTCAAAACGGCACTAAGTAATGCTGCAAATTATCCATCCCTGAATGCCAATTGCTGTGTTCGGAATTTGGACTTTTTGTCGTCATCCCAATAACAAAATGCTCTGCCATACACAGGGCAGATGTGGGCTGAAGCGACGCGTGCCCATGAATTCCCAGCTGGGAGAAGGCTTGGCATGAGAGCAAAGAAACTGCTCCAAAAAGCCCCAGTTGGGTGGGCACCGACTGCTCCCAACCTTCTAACTCCTTCCCATCCCTCTCCCGCAATCGGTTTAGCAAGACCTTGCCGGCCTCAGGAGTGTTTCAACCTAAGCAGTTTATTTGGAGGTGTACTTCAGCCCTTCCTGCCTTTTATCCCAGGGTAGTTGAGTCTGTCTGTGGTCCAGAAGCTATGACCCTGCACCTTCTGCATCCGTACGTAGCCAAGGTTGTCAGGGACCTTCACAGATGGGACAGGGAAGTTTTAAGGAAAAAGATCTGCACGGTTGTAGGTTGCTTTTCTCATAAGGAATGCAAATTTTGCCCCAGGTATCTGCAGTCATGACCATTTAAAATCAGCTAATTAGCAACCATGCCTTGCAAGAATAGAAAAAAAAATAAATATATATATATAGAAATTATAATGGGTGTCCCCAAAGAGTGTAATTTAATCTAAATTACTAGAAATAAATGAAGGAAAAATTGGGGGTTTTACCCCTATAGGCAAAGAGTGAAGTGTTTAGACTATGTCCGATTTAGAAAAAAAACTAAAAATACCCCACCCCACTCCTCCAACAAAAATACCCCAAATCTGTATTCCTGATCCTGTTTGGTCTAAGATGCATAGTCAAATAAACAAAATGAACTAGTGTATAATGATAACCTGTTGTGCATAATAATACCATTTAAAAGGAAGTGTGGCAGGAAAAGGGAGCATTTCATACTAATGCTTGCAATTGAAGATTTAAGGTTTGGAGCTGTTTTGATGCTCCCTTCCTTAGAGATTTAATTTTACAGGCCAACTAGTATAAGGTTAAGTACCAAAGAGGCACATAAGGGCAAAAAGCACTAGACCACCAAGTTTCAGAATATTAAATTTAAAGGGAACGATTGGATTCATAATTGGATCCAGTGAGTTTGAAGCCAGAAAAGATTAATTTTGAAATTAAGTTTATTGACTCAATGGGTCAGAAAAGAAACTTATTATGACCAATTCTAGCCAAACCTAGAATGAGGACTGAATTCACAGAGGTTATAGGCTCTATTCACATAAGTATTAAAGGATAGTCTACTTAATTTGACTAAGACATGGGAGACAAAGTGACCGTGAGGTTGTCAGACAGCATTTTATACTTGACCTTGTTCCTGTTTCACGCTGCCTCCCAATCAGGAAAAAAAGATGATAGATGTTTTTGTTTACAGTGCAGTCAAATTTCATTTATACTAATAAACAAAAAGGCATCAATCAAAAAGTTAAAGTAAACTGCTGTTTAGCAACACGAAGAAGTAAGCGATGACGGCTCTTCTCCCTGCACGGGACAGTGATGGGCAGCACCGTGTGAGTCGGTAGCACAGACGGGCAGTGTGGTTTATGCCCTTTCATGAAATCCTTGTAGCAAGAATGAATGTTAACAATCAACTGGGGTTTTAAAGGTAGTCCTCATTTATTTAGTTCCAAGTTCTGTTGCATTAGAGAATTCCTTACGTTTCCAAATTATATTTAAAGACAATAAAGTGCACACAACATCAATATGCCTTGGTACTCCTGCATGAATTGTTTTTTGGTTGATTAATGTGGTTGATTAATCACTATGTGATTAATATGGACATGTATATAAAAACACTTACTAAAAACTGGGAGTAAACAGAAGCTATCATTCCCCCAAATTATTACCAAGGGTTGTCAGAGAAAGTTCTCTTGATTTCAAGCTTAATTGTGCAGCCTAACAGCGCATGAGAAACATTTAACAATCTCCCTGTTAACTCAGTGAGTAACAGCAAAAAAAAAAACAAACGTTACTTTCTTCTCTTTCTTATGCACCTGCAAAATTTGATTTGTAAAATGATCATCATTCATGGAAATTTGGAAAATTGCTTAAAGCAACCTGTTAGAAATAATGCCTGAAAAGAGAAAAAAAAAAAAAAGCTTAGCTGTTACATTTTCCTTTAGAGTCCCTTTCCACAGTAAGTTTTGAAACACAAGGGGCTCTGAATAGA